GAGACTCACAACACTGCTGACAGTCACCTTAGAAAGAAAACAGGTGACATCTGCCCACGCAGAGCAAAGTGAAACAGGAGGCAGGAGGCAACACCATGACAACACCCAGCAGCTAATTTTTTTCTTTTCTTCAGCACAGGATGCATGCAAGAACAGCCAGGCTGGGTAAGCAATCTTTCCTGTGCCCTTCCCTGTCTCTGAAAGTAGCCACCTCATAGAATCACACAATATCCTGAGTTGAAAGGGATGCACAAAGATCAGAGTCCAACTCCTGGCTCTGCACGGAACAACCCCAAAAATCACATCACACGTCTCAGAGACTGGGAAAACATGTAGCAGAGTTTCCCCAGAATATTTTATCTGAGGATTTGAGCAACTGAAAAGTCCCTCCGAGACTTACGGCAGAGGGTTGGAAATGCCATTGTGCCCACACAAGTTCTGTGCTAGGAAGCAAGGAAGTAAAATGCCCTTTGAGGTTGATCCAAGAAGAAAAGAAGAGGTTCACGGCTTCAAGGACGCCTTGTGAAATGGCCCTGTGGCAAGAGTGCCTCCAGGAGGTGTGCAGGCAGGCACCAGGGCAAGTATAATTGCTGCCCACCCAGCGCCTTGCCCAGCAAGTCTCCCAGCTTTAGCAGATGATTATGTGTCTCAAGGGGCAGGCACAGGAGAGGGAGCTGCAGGACATGCTGCTCCTGTTCCCATGTCTGCCTCAGCCACCATCATCTATCCATGGTTAACACAAGGAAGCTGGAAAGGAGCAGGAAAAAGTTGATCAATTTGTGATGAGACTGTAAATCATGCATGCACGGGACATGGTGATGGGACAATCAGCTGTCATTAATGAAGTCCTGGATAAGAAAGATGAGGAAGCAAAACACTGCACTCTCCCCTGGCTTCTGCAATTATGCACCCAGAAGCATTAAGTATAATTAGACAGAGACATCTATTTTTGGAGTTAGGAAGATACAGCAAGAGTGCCTAAAAACCAGATCCTTCTAAAAGAGAGTGGGGAGAGGGGCTACAGAGAGCAAATGCACTGCCTGGAAAGCACCAGCAGTGGCTTGCTATGCTCTCCTGACCACTGCCAGGAGGACACTTTTCACCTAGGGGTCACCGCAGCACTGCGAGAATCCACAAATTTTGGCTGCAGAATAACTGAAGATTTCATAATTCAGGGCCTTTTCCCATGCCTGAGGACAAACTGCCTGATTGGCATCTTACAGTTAAGTCTGAGCTATCAGATATGTTTGGTATTCTGAGAGGTGAGGAAGAACTTCAGAGGGGCTGGAGAAACAGCAGTTTCTCCCTTGCCAGAGGCTGTGTCTGCCAGTAAGGAGACAAAAGAACATCCAAGCTGAAAACAAAGCAGCTAGGTGGGAAATTCCCCTCATTGTAAGTATAAAGAACATTTTCCTACTAGAAAAAGAGATACAAAAAGTCCTCCTCTCCTAAACAGGTATTTTTTTCCTCAGTAATTCAGACCTAGAAACTCCCCTTCAAATTTTCCCCCTCAGAAACTGGAGCTGTAAAATCTACAGAGGGATGATGCGTTTCACCTGGGAGTGTAAGACACCCAGGAAGAGGGTAGGAGGGAAGAGAGCCATCATCAAGTGCTTCTCTTTTGAAAAGCTGGTTGCACATAATCCAAGTCTGACTACACCTTTTGGGGAGGCCTTAGTCACAGGTGGTGTCTACTTGCTCCCTAGCCCTCAGACGCTTTCTCAGCTGATGCCAAAGCAACTTCTCACATGCATGTCACACAGGGAAGTAACCTGTCTATAGCAGTGGTCTAATTTTGTCATTGCTGCTGTGCAATATCCATGGGAAGCCACTCGAGGAACTGGTAAGTGACCAAGATCTGAAGAGTCTCTGGATGGCTACTGCCACATTCCCTTTGTGACCAACCAGCCTGTCATGGCACAGTCACGACCCATGTCCCAGAAGTACGAGCTACACCCAGGTGTGCATAGGATAACAATTCACTTCTCACTTACCTGGGTGAAATGAAACACAGGGGTGCCTGGGGACCCTTCATGCTGTGGGTGTAATTCACATCACATACTACCCCCTCCAAATCCCAGGCAGTTCTCACCCCACCCCCCTGGGTCCTTGTGCCTCCCTCAAACCTCATCAGTCAACAGAGTTCTTACACAGTGACTAAGAGCCGACCAGTTTCTCAGGCTGTGCCAGGATTGTTGCTGCAGTTCCCATGTAGGGCAGAAGGACCCTAGAGACTCTTTCATGTCTGCATCCTATAGCAAAAACCTATCTGGGAAGTGATAAGATGAGAAAGTTGTTATCAGTCACTTCCCTGACTGCAGATATTGCCAGCCCAGCACTGTGGTTGCTTTTCCTCTGGAGCTCACAAAGGCTCTAAGGCTATTTTTTTCCTTGGGATTGAAAATAAATCACTCCAATCACTTGCTTTTCTTGAGGTGCTACAAAACAAACTACAGTGGAAATGTTATCACTGGTAACAGATTTAGCCTGCAGGACCATGTGTTCATTTAAATTTTAACACTTAAAAATAGTTTCTGGTGGCACCATGTAAATACAAGGTATGGCCAGCACAAGCAGGTACAAATTGAGTGACATTATATGACTTGAAGTCATTTATTTCTGCTTCTGACAGCTACTGGTGAAACCCTACCTTGTTTCTTCTCCGTGCCCCCCATGCATTCAGGACACTGGAGTGAGACTTGGAGAAAGAAGAGCATGCAAGGAGACAATATCACCTTAATGATCACACTGATGCCTCTCTATCACACCTACCTGCCACACAAACATCTGGGAGGAATAAAACATTTACTGTCTTGACAAACCAACTGTGCCTGATTCCCACCACTGCCAGAATTCTAGCAGAGCCTAAGAGCCCAGAGATGCCATCACTGCACTCCTGCTCACCTTGCTACCTTTGCAACCTGCTGATACAGGCTTGATGAGACAGCAAAAGGGGGTTTGAATCCACTTCTTTCCTCAAAAAAAAAAAAACAACAAAAATTCTGAAAGCTGTATAAATAAACCAACTCTGAGGGAAGAAAACAGTTGCACAAGAGAGGTTTTTCTCTGCTTAAAATTCAAAGCCTGCTCCTGCATGCCAGAGGCAGAGACAGCATGAGCAGCAGCAACCTCCCTGCTTTGCTCTCTGAGTGCCCTGGCAGTGGCTGCAGGAGGACATCCTGCCTCACTCACCCTGGAACCACTGTCTGCAGGGCATGGCTGGACTCTACTCCTCATGGGCTCTCAGGCTGTCCAGAACTGAGCAGATTTAAGCCACGTCCCTGGCAGAAGCTATCATTTGTCCATGTGCCAAGGCCATACCCTGCAAGACTATCATAGCCTCTCAAATAGTAGGTTTTTCCTCCTCTTCCCTTGTCCACAAAAAGGATACTTTCCTAAAATACAGATACTTTCCTAAAATACTCAGCTGTAGTCCTGCCTGGCACAAACCAGCTCAGGCCACGCAGTTAGATCTTGCTGAATTTAAACCAATCTGAGAGCAGGATCCAGTAAGTAGCAATCAAACAACCCTTAAAACAGGGCCACTGAGCAGCAAAATGAAATCAGGCAATGCCTTTATACAGACTGAGGCCAAGGAAGAACCAAGGAAATGAAGCCAGCACATAAGAGATTCTGTGTCCTACCTTGTCAGAGCTTAGAAGGAAAGCAGGGAGTTGGGGAGACCAAGAGTCGCCTTTGCAAGGAAAAAGGCTTCAGCACATGAAGCAAGGTGAGCTCAGAAATACAAGGTTTTCTCCCCGCTCCCAGCTAACAAAGGGCTACTGATCAAGGAAAACAGGAGATCTATCTTAGCATTTCCCAACTGCACCTAGTGGGATAAGCATTCCTCACACCATGATTTTTTTGCCCATGCTCCATATTTCCAACTGACTGTGCTGTCTGGTATTGCTAGGTGATGTCCAAGGGCTGCCCTGTAAAAGTGTTATCTTTAGGGACATAATGACATGAGAAGAGACAAGGGGAGAAGCAGCAACACGAAAGACTGACTGGCAGGGACCAGAACAAGTTTTCAGGTGTGGCATTTAGGAAAATTCTATTTCTGATGTGAAGTAAACTAGATCTAGAAATAGGAAAAAAAGGTAGGGAAGTCCTCAGCATCAATCTTTGAGGCTGGCTTTTCAATGAAACCAGCTTTTAGGGTCATGGACTCATCTGCCAGGTGGCACATCTATTTCAACTGAATCCTCACCACAGGCAGGCTTCTAGCTAGATTTGTTCAGAAAAAAAAAAAAAAAACAAACAAAACCACCAAACAAAACAAAAGAAAACCAACCCCCAAACCCACACATGCAGCTTTGTATGTGTACATAGGGGAAAAACTGTCACAAATGCAAAGGCTTGTCATTTCATATCTTCCATAAAGCAGAGATTCTTTCATAACCCCACAAACACAAGGAATCAGGGAAATGATAGGTCTGTATTACAAAAAAGACAAGATCATCAAGTCCAACCTTTGACCAAAACCAACCATGCCGACTAAACCATATTTTGAGGTGTCACGTCTACTCAGTTTTTGAACACTTCCAGGGATGGTGACTCCACCACTTCCCGGGGGAACCTGTTCCAATGCTCAACAACTCTTTCAGTGAAGAAATTTTTCCTAATATCCAAATTGAACCTCCCCTGGTGCAACTTGAGGCCATTTCCCCTTGTCCTGTCACTAGGTGCCTGAGGGAAGAGGCCGATTTGTGTGAGTCAGAGTGGCTCCTGTACAGGCAAAGTATTTGGTTTTAAGTATCCTACATTCAAAGCATTAATGGCAACAGTAGGTCATCAAGAGCCATATTAGCTGTGATATAGCTACGGTCCCATAGGATCATCCCAAATATTTACTGGAATTTGTGTTTTTATTTACATTTTATTCCTCTTTAACATTTAACAAAAGATTCTACTGCAAAAGCTAGAGGGGAAGAGAGACTGGCCACAGTCCCCTCCTCTCCAGGCTGTTCCGTCAGTCAGCGGGGAATTGCCACACTTACCCATGTCCTTATTTAACGCTTCAGTCATTCTTCACACTCCTGTGCAGGTGATGCCAGGGCTTTCAGACAGGTCTAGCAGCAGGTGCACCAGGACTCGAGCACACTGTGAAGGAATACAAACACTAGCTAATCAAATCTATTGTTAAAACAATTTGTTTCTTGCTGGGGCCGAGTTCATCTGACAGCGTTTAAACAAGGCAGGTTTCATTTCTGAGGGCAGACTGCCATCTTCACTCAGGAGCTCCTCACCCCAGTCATTTTAATGTGCAGATCAGCAGCAGAGAAATAACAGAAAAATAAAAACCCAAGGCCAAAACTCTGAACTCTTCTTAAAGAGGAGTAGAGTTCAGTGGGAATTTCCATGATTTAGCCAGGCAGCATGAGGAACAAACAACAGTGGTGAGCAATGACATCCACAGCACACAAATCATAAAGGTCTATTTCCAAGGAACACCTGCCCCCAAGAGGGCACTGTGACATTATGTATTACTCTTGTCTTGGGCACTGTGATATTATATATACTTCATGGCTTATTATATGGATATTACATATACTTGGATATTATATATATATATAAAATATAGATGGATATTATATATATATATACATACATGGATATTATATATACTTCACCCCACTGTCCCAGCACTGGGGTGAAGGCACACCATCCCTCCCTCCCAGCCCCTCTCCGTGCTCTGCAGCCACTGCCAGCACAGCAAGGGGAACGCCTGGCTTCTGCCTTCAATGCATTCATTTCCCTTTTAGAGAAAGGTGCAAGCAGGAAAGCAGCAAAAACTCCATTTGCTGGAAAGCAGAGCAGCAAATGTAAAGCAGGAGCTGCTGCTACTGGTGCGAGCAGATCCATACTCGCTGCCCACCCAAACCACCCGTCCCTTCACAGCTGCATGTGATAAGCCTCGGTCTGCCTTGGTGGTTTTCCTCTCAGGGTCATGGCTATTTTCTTGCTTGATTTCTCAGGCAGTTTCAGCTTCAAATACCATAAAAGCCTGTGCAGGGAGGTGCAGAATGGAGTAAACAGATGGAGTCTGTTCCGCAAACAGACCTGCAGACCCTGTCAGCTGCCTCCAGCCTTGTTCCTAAAGTGCCTGCCTGCCTCCATTCCTCTTTGATATGCACACACCAACTATCTGGTCCAAGATTACCTCCTTCTGCCACTTAGAATGTACCTTTAGAATTTGTCCTTACTGTCTTCCAAAGCTCAGTCTGAACTTTCTCATCAGACTTGACAGCTCTGAAGCTCTTTGGTTTGCACATCTAAGTCCTGCCAGTCTCTCGGTACAAGACTGGCTCACCCAGGACTAACCAGACCTGTGGGACAAGCCACCTCAGGGACTGATTGAGCACCTTCAGAAAAGGTTTTAGAACATGACTCCACAGCACCTCGTGAAATCAGCCTCTGGTAACATCTATACCATTCAAAAGCATTTAAACACGTGCTTCGCAGCTATAACACTTTGCCATCAACTTACCCTGTGTACCGTAGGCTGTCATATCCTAATTACAGGCCAAATTCTGCAGTCCTTAATTGGCCACAAATTAATTACAACAAGTGCCAGACAGCTAAATTTCTTCCTGAATACAGAATGCTCTCCCCAGGAAGAAATTTAAGTATTGTTCATTTGGGATAGTTAATCACAAAAGGCTTACCTGCTTTTCTAAATTGTATTTGGATGTAACAGACGTTACTTGATGTGGTAAGAAAAGCTTCTCACTTCCCAACTTTTCTCTCTACCCTCATCACCACCCATTTCCAATTCCAAGAGGCATTTGCTGTGGATTTGAAAGCTTTGCCTTGCATAAATCCTCACCTGAAGCCCTCTCCTTCTTGTCCGACAGCCAGCCATGATGGAACACCAGCTAGCTCTGCCTGGGGACAGACAGCAGGCACACAAACACAGATAAGCAAGTCACCAGCAGTGGCAGGCATGTAATCTTTCAGCTATAGGAAGAGATTTGCGGATGCTGAAGCAACAAGGAGAGCAAAGAGATATTCCCTGCTTTCAGGAGATGTGCAGCATGGAGCCCCAGTTCCTACCCACACCCTCTTTACTGGCTGTCCAGCACCAAGAAGGATCCCAGCAGCTCCCTGGACTTTCTCCCCAGCCTTGAGGAGGGGCAGTAAGAGCAAGCTTAGTGCTTCTCTCAACCCAGCAGCCTGTCAGTGCTGCTCAGCCCTTCCCTTTGGCTTGGGAGGATGTCTGGAGGATCTCCCTGGTAAGCACTCAGGAATCAGCCACTTGAAGGCCAAGCCAAGTGTCTGCAGCATGGGCCAAGAGAGAAACAGCTTCCCAGCTTTCGGAAGGGAGGTGGTGGGAAGGAGCCATCTGAACAAAGACACAGGGAGATCAACACATCCAGCCAGGAAAGGGTGTGGTGAGCTCTGAGACCAAGTCCTCCTCTCTGCTTCCCTCTCTCCCCAGCCATGCCTTCTCCTCTCAGCAGGCATTCCAGCACCAAAAAGTAAAGCTTGCTTCCCTACACAGCTGGGTTTCCTTAGCTCTGACAAGCCAGGCATGACTTTCCACTTACCACAAGGATGGAGACATATGATCTCACTTTGCTTCCTCTTTCCATAAGAATTTTGGTGCAAAGCTTCTCAAAGACAAATTTGCCAGGAGAGCCTTCCTACTCCTCCAGAAACACACTTACCAATGCCTGCTTAGCCCCTTTTGTCTCCCACTCCACTCTAGTTTATTGCCTTCAGGTTTGTGATTCCTGCCAGGTGCAGCCTGACGATGCCAGCTGCAAAATCCTGTTTGCAGACCAGCTCATTAGCCCTGCCATCTTTCATCTCATTTGGCACCTACAAGGCACTCACAAGCTGCTCCAAGAGTTGGTGGTATGGCCTACTGCCACACGACTATTCCCTCTGATGGCTTACAAACCCAGTTTATGTCCCTCACACAGTTTAAATTCTTGTTTACATGAAGAGAGGTTTCTGACACATGAGGCATGCCAGGCTCAGGTTTCTCTTTGGTGTCAGAACAGCCTTGTTTAATCAAGTGAATATCCACAGAGTTTGATGATGTTCCTCTCATCCTGCTGAATTTCTTGGAGACTTTGTACTAGTCCCACGACCAGCTTCACTAGTTTATTCTGTTTGAAAAGAGGGTAAGGGCAAGATCTGACGGCAAGCAGCTGTGGGAATCACAGCTGCTTCTGAACACCGGGAATGTGAGGTCTCAAATCTCCTTATCTGCCAAAGGGATAAAAACCTTAACATAGCCCGAGTATTTTAAACAGATACCAATCCCTGGAACATGAGGGAAAAAAAGAAAAAGCAAAAGCAACACCTTACCATGCACAGCTTTCTGACTACCTGCAGCTTTGGTTTTCTCCCTTGCCTGTGCTGCTGTTGCTGCCAGTCAGGAGCCACAAATTTAGGCTGCCATTGCACACACACACACATACACACACAATGCTCACTGACAAAGCTTTCCAGTTAGGTTTGTACCTTTGAATTCCCAGGTCTGTTCAACATCAGTGTCTAAAATAACCACACAGCTTGGTTTTGCAGGAAAGGATCTAGGGCAATGACAGCAACTCAGCTCCTGAGGTGGCATGGATTCAGTGGCTTTTCATGGGATCTGCCCCATTTTCCAACTGCTCAGATATCACACAGGCCAGCGATCAATTACCTTTAAATAGCTCAGTGAAGAGTTCTTGGCAAGAAAGGGGCAAATAACATCTCTAGAAAAATGAGAGTACTTGCCAAGTTTATTTTCTTTACTGGCTATGCCCTAGCTGATGAGTGGCTGTACCCATTACAAGTTAGCCTCACCTTGGCTTGTTGCCTTTGGTCCTGATACCTAGAGGGTGTAGTATAGCTCCCTGGGATTACAGAATAATTCTCACCTGCAAAATTTTCACCAGCCTTATGCACCTGCAGCAACCAGATGGAAGGAAAATAGTGCTGCGAGCAGCACACTTCTTTTCAGGCCAGCGTTCTCTGTGAAAGGAAAACAATCTTATTTTTTAAAGGTAATAAAATCAGCTACAGGATAAAACATAGAAACTTTTGTTTAAGGTTTTCTTTACCCATTGCTGGCCAAAAGATCTTGGTATCTTCAGCATCTGCTGGGAAAAACTGTGGTTGTTCTTTGTGCTATCCATAATGACTTAGTCAAGCAAAAATGTTAACATTATTTTTACTTCTTGTGCAGCAGTTTGCCCATTCCCACGTTCACAGGGTGCTAAGCAATAAGGCCTGGTCATGGACTGGCCACAAAGTGGGCACTTAGGAATTCGTTGACCAGTCTTGAACATTAAAACCCTTGGGCAAAATATTTCTGCTTGTATGGAAACAGAGGTATTTAAAGAAATCTCAAGGGCTCTATGCAAGTGCAGAGGTTGTTCTACACATTGTAACTTACAACCTCATGGCATAAGGTATAAAAATACGTATTGTTTTGGCTTCTAGGACATCTGCATTCCCAGGAGTTGTATTTTGGTACACTTGTGCCAGCAGGACCTATATTACACTCAACAGTGTCCACTCACATGTGAAATCCCTGCCCGAGAGGTGTCAGTCTGTCATCGGATCAATGGCAGGCATCTGCTGACCAGCAGCTCCTCCTGCTCACATACCACATTTACCAGTAATTGCTGCCTGACTTCTAATTGCTCTCATTAACAAGAGCAATGGAACAAATAAGTTCTACAAACACAGCTTTGATGCAAAAAATGCACTAGAAAGAGCAGAAGCTCAGCATCCTTTTATATATGTTGGTACTGAGTACACTACTAAAGTATACTGGTGTGACCTAAATATTTATATCACAGTTAGCAGTGCTTGAGGTACAAGGACTGAAAGCAAAAAAGATTTTTTTGGTGCATTTTTATACCAACAAATGTTGAGCCAGCAGCCAACAAGGCAAAAATCTGTTTCTCTGAGATCTAAGTACAGCACAGAAAGCTGAGCTCAGCTGTCTTTCCTCCCCCTCAGCCTGACAGTTCCCTACCAAACCAAAACCTCTCATCCATGCCTCTTGCTGTCTGTCCTTGGAGCTGTTTGCATCAGTCCCAGGCCATGCTGTCAGCTCTGGGGCAGGAGCACAGTGCAAGCAGTGATGCTTGCAGCCAAGACAGCTCACAGAGCTTCAGCCAGGAGCGTACAGGAGGGGGAGCGTTTGCTACGATAGCTGCTTCCTTCCTGGGAAACCAGGGCTTTCTTTCATGTCTCCTTCAAGCCCTTCAGCCGCCAGGATGCTCCAGCTCCATCTAACTGCACAAGGCTTTTTCTGGGCTCAGAGAAGGGCTTGCTGAGACCGAAACTGCCCACCTCAGCCAAGCTTGCAGAAAACTTCCCAAAAGTGACCTGCTCCCTCAAGCAGATGGAGAATTATCAGAAGTGCAGAGCTCCACATTACTCCTTACCATTGCAACCTGGTCTGCAGCTGCCACTTCAGTTTTGCCATGGCAGTGTGGGCACTCCCTCTTCTGATTATGTTACTATAGGGGCTTCAAAGGAGTTTCCCATAAGCAAGGATTACCTGTAAGCTTTGGGAACATGCCTTTAATGTGACTGCCCGTTCCTATTTTAAAAGACATACTGAGCATCATCCAAGCCCCTATAGACATTTGCAAACACATCTTTCTATTCACTGAAACATGCAATGGCATTTTCCAGGGGTGCTCTGATAGTGAGGAAGGGCCACCTGGTCTTAGCATTTTCCCTTGTAAAAATGCTCAGGTTGGTTTAGTTATATTTAGCCATCTCAAAGTTTCCAGCTCCTCCAAAAAGTCCAGCTCAGGCCTCTGCTGAAATCACTGTGGTTATGACTCAAGGGCTAAATATGTCAGGAAATCACGCATATCCAGCAAAATCCAGCTCTCTGCATCTGGCCTACTGATTGCTAGGTGGGATTGTTCTGTGTTTAAGTAACCACAGTTTCTGAACAGGAACTTCTGGAAATGGCTTCTTTCTGATCCGCTTCGGAAATAAGAAATCTGGGGGCATTTATTTGAAGGCCCAAACAGAAAAGGAGCATTGGCTGGGTAAATTGTCCTGCACTTCTGCATGCGTGTGGGATTCTCTCCACTCAACCTCCACAAAGACATCAGCCCCAGGCAAGGTCCTTGCTGTCAAATGGGCCCACGCTCTCTTCAGGGGAGATAAGAATGGACTGAGAGTGTTCTTCAGTGGCCAGCATAGAGTCATAGAATAGTTGGGGTTGGAAGGGACAGTTAAAGGTCTCCAGCCCAACCCTCCCGCAGTGAGCAGAGACACCTTCAACTGGATCAGGTTCCTCAGAGCCCTGTTCAGTCTCACCTGGAATGCTACCAGGCAGGGTAGCAGGGTAGCTCCTGCACAAGAGCAAATCTTCCATTATGTAATGTACATGCTGCTTGCCTGGCCTTCTGATGGCATGTCTGATGGTAGAGCCTGATGGTCCATGCCTGGTGGTACATGCCTGGCAACCACACTTCCACAGCATGTTGAATACCCATACTCCCAAGTGGCATGTAGAAATAGCTTCTGAAGTGGGAAAGTGGTTTGGTTTGGACCCACAACTTCTAGGAAGGTAAAACTCGACATAGTGGTTACATTACTTTCTCTTAGCATCAGAGCAAAGTACCCCCACAGCACACATAGACCTGTGTTTGTGGCTTTTAGATAATTTAATTTCCTCAAGTCACTTCAGAATACTGACAAGATGGACTTAGAAGAAAGATTTTCTTCCATCTTCAGCTGATTACTATTCTTCTTTAAAACCAGCTTGAAAAGTGAAACATATATTCAAAAATTAAAAATAGCATTTGGGTTGGTATATAGGAAGACAGGGGTTTTGTGGTCCTAGGCTTCTTTGTACAGCTGGAAAGGACATGTGAGCACTGCAGGAAAGGCAGGATCCTTGAGTAGCTTAAAAAAACCAGCACAAAACAGAGACAACTATATGTGAAAACCAACGGTGCGGCACCTGTAGGAAGGAGTCAACACTGGCCTGAGATGCAGCGTGCGATGGGAGGGATACTTTTCTCTGGAGTGGATGTTGTAGCCCAGCCAAGCTGCCCTCTGCTCAATTTGACAGCCACCTTATGACAAGTAAAACTGACTAAAAGCTTTTAAAATCTCCTTTTCTCTGTCTCAAAAATATAATTTTGATAAAAATAGATGGAGAGAAATTCCAAGTTCAAGAGACTGAAAAGCTCTTTCTTCTGAAAGATGCATTTAAAGTTCCCTGTCCACATCACACAAGGTCAGAAAGCCTACCTAGTAATAGCTCCATGCACCATCACCATAAAAAAGTCATTATTTATAGCCAGCCAAGGTAGTTCGCAGTTAGTGCCAGTAGAAGTCACTCCTTTTTACCACTCTGTGTAGTTTGGATTTTAATGTAATTAATAACCTGCAGAAAAATGGTACAGGTCCCCAAATGGGTCCCTCATCCCAGAAAACTAACAATTAAACTCTCTTCATCCACACAGCCCTATGTTTAGAACTCAAGTGAAGAGGCTGAAAGAGTAAAAACTCTGAAGTATCCATCCCCAGCAGAGTTCTCCCCCAACATGTGTGTGGGCACCTCATGAGCAGAGGGGACCAACCAGACGCTCATGTCACGTCTCAAAGGTGTTGCTGTGCAACATTCCACCCCATCACAATGCCTGGGAGGGGCTTGGAACCCACAGAGGCATCCGTGGAACCAATGGTTGCCATAGGCGAAGGTCGAGAGCTGCCATGCACCAGACATCACAGCTTTCAAATTCTGGAGCAAGACATGAGCTCTGACCAAGCCCATCGGGATCGCAAATCATGCCAAGAAACGATGGAGGAGAAAGGCTACTTAATGAGCTGGGCTATAGGCTGGGTCAAACATTAGGGGAGGGCAGCTTCTCCAAGGTGAAAGCAGCCACCTCCAGCAGACACAAGGGCCCCTTAGCCGTCAAGGTGGTGGATCGGCAACGAGCATCCCGAGCCGTCGTGTACAAGTTTCTGCCTCGGGAGCTCTCCATCGTGCGCAAGATCCAGCACCCCAACATTGTGCACGTCTTCGAGCTCATCGAGGTCTGCAATAGGAAACTCTACATCGTGATGGAGGCCATGGACACTACCCTGCTGCAGCTGGTGGAGCACCTGGGAAAGCTGCCCTGCGTGCCCAAGGCCCGGGACATCTTTGTGCAGGTTGTGAGGGCTGTGCGCTACCTGCACGACCGCAACTTGGTGCACCGGGATCTCAAGTGTGAGAATGTGCTGCTCACCGCCGACGGCCGCCGTGCCAAGATCAGTGACTTTGGCTTTAGCAAGGAGATCCACGGCTACCCGGACCTGAGCACCACGTTCTGTGGGACAGCGGCCTTCGCTTCCCCAGAAGTGCTGATGGGCATCCCCTACGATGCCAAGAAGTACGACATGTGGAGCTTGGGGGTGATGCTCTACATGATGGTGGTCGGCCACGTTCCCTTTGATGATACCAACATCCAGAGCATGCCTCAGCTGCAGAAGAAAGGGGTGCTGTACCCAGAGGAGCTGCCCCCACTGCCAGAGCCCTGCCAAGCCCTCATTGCCCAACTGCTCCAGTTCATCCCGGCTTGCCGACCCGGCGCAGGGCAGGTGGCCAAGAACCGCTGGCTGAATGGAGACATCTGAAGGAGAGAGCCCTCCATGAAGGTTCTGGAGGAGCAGTAACACTTTGGTGCAATAAACGCTGTTGTGAAAAAGCATTTCTGCAGTCTATGGATTATTTTGAGGCACGGGGTGCCTGATTGAACTTCAAGCACTAGCAAGGCCATGTGCTCTCAGGAGGTGGTCAGATCCCTTCCCAAAACAGGTGTGTGAGCCTGCTGCAGGCTGGGTTTCAAGACAGAACAGCCATGCTGAGCTGGTGGTCAGAGCAAACCATGGGGTGCTGACACCAGCAGTCGCTGCCTGACCACAGCAGGGGCCTGCACCCCCCGTCAGGCAGGTCAGGGCTCTCCCACAGAGAGCCAGGGCAGGTGGAAAGGTGCAGCAGTGCAGCCCATTATGGTGCCTGCCCCCTAATGCATGTAATGAATACCAAGACTCTGGCAGAGCCCCCTATCACACATAACAAATAGCAAGACTCTGGCAGAGCCACCCCTCTCTGGTGCTCGCCACCCACTGCTGCCGTGTGCACAGGGAGGAGAGCTGCTCTCACAGGGGTCTCGGCCTGTCCTCAGCCTTGTTCACCACCAAAATGGATTTGAGCAGGCAAGAGCAGAGAAGTAGTGGTCCTGCAAATCACTACTGCAGAGAAAATGTCACATTTTTTGTGTGCTACCGTTTCAGCCTCACAGTGATATTCACAGCCCAAATTCACACTAGCATCTTTGCAGGAAACTGGACAGCGTTACCCAGCCAAAAATTTTGGTGTGGGTTTGAAGATCCGCACCTTACATTGAACATCATTCGCATATTGATTCTTACCAACATTTGAAATGTCTGCCAAAAGATATTTGATGAGAAATGCCGCTGGCCATCGGGAACCTGAAATGGGAAAGTGATAAAGGTGTAAAGGAGAACCGCTTTGCTAACACCTGCTGTCCAGCTTCAATGTTGAGATTTACCAATTAGTCTTAATGCAACTCCCAAAATCTACTATGGGTCCCTACTGGCAAGTCCCATTTTCAAAGGGTTAGTTACAGGTAGGAGGTGGCATCTGAAATGTGCTTTCATGAGACACTTCAAACCTCCTTTTAAACAATCTCCAATCTAGCTTCCCCTGGAACTGAAGTCAAAACGGGAAATATCCAGTTGGGTGGTTCGATGGTGTTCATGTTGCTGGTGCCTTGTGAGCTGACACAGCACAGCCCTGGCAGCAGGGTCTGTGGCAACACCATGTCTGACAGGAACATGTGCACATGGTTCTGCTGGAAGAGACAGAAACACCTTTTGCAAAGCAAACATCTTGTGTCTCTCCAAAGCAGCAGTTTAAAGAGAACAAGCTATGGCAGCAGAGCCAGCCCAAGGCTTTTCAGCACATGGGCTACAGGGAATGTTGCCACCCTCAGAACGATTTATTTTGTTCTTCTCCTTGCAGCTGCAAAATAAAACTTCATAGCAGCAGCAAAGTCCAAAGTAGACAGAGTAACGGGGCCATACATGGCTGGGGAAACAGGCTTGGGAAGGATCAGGAAGATGCTGGGGTTGGAAAAGAAGGGGAGAAGTCATAAGGATGTAGGGAGCAAGGAGGTGGATTTCAGGGTAGTAAAATTTTCAGCAAGGCTCAACTCTCCTTTTCCTATTTGCCTTCCAGCAGCTCTGTCAGTCTCACCCCTCTCCAAAGCCACCAACTTCCTTTGGGAGAGCTCCCAATCCATGCCCTAGGACATCAAAGTACCTGTCCATCTCTGTCTACTGCCTCACTCCAGCCCTTGCTTGCCTCCAAGTACCTCCTTACAACCTGGAAAGCACAAACCTGGTGCTACTGTATTGCCTTTCCTTTCCTTTCTTTTAATTTTCTATCATTAAAGACAAAGCTAATACAAAAGGAGTCATTCTAAAACCCAAACCCTATTAATCTTCCCCCAGCACCCGCATTCTCCTAAATGATTGCATTTGTTGAGGACACAAGCTGGGGCAGATGACTAATGTTTTGCAAGGATGTACCCCCTTGGGTGGCTTGGGAAAGCAGCTGGGGTTCAAGTGGTGAGTGGTTTGAAGGAACCACGGGAGGCTCATCAGGCTGCCCCGCAGCCCTCGCCCTCTCCAGGCAGATGGTAATCTCACAGGGCCAGCACTAACGACCTCAGAGCAGTCCCGAGGCTGTGAAAATAGTCCATTACAAGTCTAATTATGCAAATCAAAAATAAAAATCACAATTAAAGACGCTGAACCAATTCTTATCTAATTTGCACCAATGGGATATCAGTTTTGGAGGAGGGCAGGACCAGAGGCATTGAGCAGGATGAGGCAGAGGCTGTGCCACCAGCAGTGGGGCCAGGGGAGTGCTCTACCAGCATACTTCCCCTCCCCTCCTCTCTCTGCACTGGAGGGACTCCCGAGGGCTGTGTATGTGCTAAGCCTGCTGCTCTCCCAGCTTTATTTCCTCCTCAGGAGACTAGAAATGCTTTTTAACCTTCCCAGGAGGTGCACAGTCAACAGAAGTGCCCCTTCCCCGACTCCTGGCAGATGAGCCCCATTATCCCATCCACAAAGCACAGTGCCCTGCATCTATGGGAGAGCCCTTGAACTTTGAACGAGCATGTGTCAGAGGCATAAACAGCCACGCTGGGTTATCAATATCCCGATCAGTCCCACCAGACTCATTCTACACTGTGGCTCTCTCCTCCCTAGGCTGTTTGGAACGTAGTGGTGCAGTGTGATCTGAAAATGGAGGGTCCTGTCTGATACCAGTCCTGAATAAATAACTTTCAGCGGGGGACCTGATGATCATGCAAGACACACAATAACTATATTTTATTTAATCCTTCTCCAAGGATAAGAAGATAATTGTTCAGGGTCTGTACGAGGCAGCTGTGTGATGTGCCACCACCTAGCTTCTGTCAGCTCACCACAGGGTGCGAGCATTACCCCATCCACAGCCCTCTTGTTGACTGTCATTGTGCCCTATGTCACCAACAGGCTCACTGGAAAACCTTCCAGATTTTTAGATGTGTGTCTTGAAGTTAGTTAGAGGGACTCTTAAAAGGACCTTCAGCAGAATAGAGTGGTAAGTATTTTCTTGAGATATTTTCTAAGCATCTTGAAGCAATTTTACCCCATTTAATTTCAGAAGAGCGTTAATAAATTCAAAAACGTCTTTCAGACCTTTAGTATAGATTTCCTCCCACTGCTCCTATGTTCAAATTCTGCATCACTTTTCCTGAAATATAGCCCTTATTTTAGGCAAATGAAAGGAAGGGAGGTAATTCACTGCATGCTGACATTAAAGCTCCCTTTTCAGCTAAGCAAAATTTGCTTTCAAGATTTTAGGTCATGGCTGATGTGTCCGATAAGCTTTAGGACTCAGCTACTTAAAAGTCGACACGTTACAAAACTCTGGAGATAAGTATATTCATGAATTGTGGGAAAATACTGCTGGGTAATCAAACACCTCACGTATTCCTGCACTAACTGGGGCTGGCTCTCCCAGGGCTCTCGGTCTGTGCCTCCAGCCAAGGCAGGCTGCCCGGTTGGCAGCTAACGACCTGCTTCAATTACCCTCGGCCCAGCCAGCACTGGCAGGTTGGGCGGGAGACGTACCTGAGTGACCCTGCCCCACTGGGGAGGCAAAGCTTTCAACAGGCAATTTAGCAAATAAATATACCTCGCCCTGCTTGAATACATTACCCTTTCCATAATTGCAGCCTTCGGTGCTAGCAGCCTCTTACCCAGTGACCTGGAGTCCTCTTCTCTCTTTCCAGACCATGCTGCACCAAGTTATGGGTCTCCATGATTTTGTGTGCATCTCAACCCTTCTTCAGTCTGAGATCTCCTCATCTTCTCTTTTCATTGTCCCTCACTCTCCAAGTCTCTACACCTACTTGTCTGCTGAAGAAATAGGTTCTTTGTGCACATGATCTTCCCTACAGACAAGAAGCTTTCTGTGAATATTTTCATTTTCACAGCACCTAGCAAACATCAATCCTCCCAC